AATTTGGATGCCCTTTATTTCTTTTTCTTGCCTTATTGCTCTAGCTAGAACTTCCAGCACAATGTTAAATAGGAGTGGTGATAAAGGGCATCCTTGTCGTGTTCCTGTTTTCAAGGGGAATGTGTAACATATATTTTAACATATATAGTTATTTTGGTGTTTGCAATAGATTTTCTCCCTTAAAGTTTCATTTATGTACATTTGTTTGTAAACATGCTATTGTTGTTGTTGTTAGCTGCCATTGAGTTGGCCCCCAACTCATGGTGACTGCATGCACAACAGAACAAAACACTGCCCCCGTCCTGCGCCATCTCTATGATTGGTTATGGATCAGACTGTTGTGATCCATTGGGTTTTCATTGGTTGATTTTTCAGACGTAGATGCCAGGCCTTTCTTTCCAGTTCATCTTAGTCTGGAAGCTATCACAGCAGCATGCAAGCCTCCACTGACAGACAGATGGTGGCTGCGCATGAGGTGCACTGGCCGGGAATCAAACCTGGGTCTCTCCCGTGGAAGGTGAGAATTCTACCACTGAACCACCAGTGTCCCCATTGTAAACATATTCCCTTTTAATTGTATTGGTTACAGGAAGTGAGATATAATGTATGCAGAGCAAATACAGGGCACATACATTTCTATTCCCCTCACCCATGGCAGACATAGCTAATCAACCATGGCATTCTTTACCACTGAACAACTCTGAATTCCTGGGCTCCACGAATCCACTACCATCAGGTGGTGCTGGCAAACAGGTTGAAACCTATTTCCTATCCTTGGTATGACAGTAAAACTTAGCGTTAGCATGCCCGTTCTCCCTATTTACCAGCTAATACCTCTTAGAAACAGCTTTTAATCTCTTCTGCCACTCTCACAGGACTGTTACAGAGCCAAGGCATTTAATTCATGTGAACACACTTTGCAAACCATGCAGTCCCCATCACACATTGTTTGAAGAAATCAGATTAACTCTTTTGTAATTTGAACAACACCATCTCCCTAGCTGATCGCCTTCCTCCCTCTCTCCATACACATCTATTTTCATCTAGTTTGCAAATGGAGATTTTTTAGTTTTTGGTCTTATTAAAACTGTGCACACCTGTATCCTCCTTTTGTGTGAGATATTTGATACTATCTAGAGGAAAATGCTGCTGGAGGATGGGAAAGCCCGAAATCTCACATCTGGCTCATCATTCTGGCATTCTGGCAGTCCTTTCTGCTCAGCTAGAGACTATGTGATTAATAGCCCCTCTTCCCAATTATAAGGATATTATACTTGTCTGCCTATGGCTGTAGATGGGAGCTATCTTATGTATGTGTGATGCAAATATGGGCTTTGTGAATGCTAATTTCAAAATCAGCCAGGAGTTGATTGGCAGAAAACCGAACAATGGTGTGACAGGCATGCCAGGGGTCAGGAATCTGTGAAAGAAAGGCTGAGTGAGAGTAGAGAAAAAGAGCTGGAGAGATCTGGAGTTAATCAAGACCAGTGACTGGGAGAGTAGCAGTTTATGAAAGCAGATCTAAGCCAGATATGCTGGAAGAGAGGGCAGTTTCAAAGACTCTCATGAAAACAGTGAGAAAGGAGAGAGTTTAGCTGACTTTGCAAAAAGCAAGATGAACTAAGAAGCCAAGATTATGCTCTAAGTTGTACAAAGCTGTATTCGCTGTCATTACCACATCCCTGAAACGTGCATGTCTGCACTTTGTTTGGACCCTGAGGGACTTCGCCCCACATTTGACTACGACATTGTCAAGGCCAGGGACCCTGTCATTGTCTTTGTTTTTCTAGATGTCAGCAGGGCACAAGCACTCAGGAAGCATTCACGGGGTGGGACTGAACTGATCATTAGAATGTCAGGGGGATGATTTGGATAACATGAAAGGGGAGGAGCAGAGAATTGAGACGCTATTTCATCAATTAATCATGACAGCGGAAGTGATCAGAAACAACAGAAAAATTTTTTGAGGGGAGGTTTCTGATAAGTAGGCAGAGCAAATTATTCAAGATAAGCCCCTTTTGGCTGGTATTCTAAAACTCTGGTTAAGATTTGTTAAGTATTCTGAACAGCCAACCATTTTAGCCCAAGGCTGGCTAGGCAATAGCAAGCACAAAGACAGAAAGTGTGCTGAAATTTCTCTAAGTAAGGCTTGGGGTAGGAAAGCCTTTTTGCATAGTGGTTAGGTGCTACGGCTGCTAACAAAAAGGTTGGCAGTTCAAATCCACCAGGCGCTCCTTGGAAATGCTATGGGGCAATTTTACTCTGTCCTGTAGCGTCTCTATGAGTCGGAATCAATTCGACGGCAATGGGTTTGTTTTTTGTTTTTTTTTTCGGTAAGACTTGGGTACACTGTTGGTTAATAACTTACTCTCAGGTGTTTCCCTTAGCATTGCAGAGGAAGAACAGGTGGAAGGGGAAGAGGTAAAGATGCTACATTCTGTGACAGCTTGCTGAAAATATTTCTCCACTCAGTTGGGTGTACTGTAGACTGGAAAAGGGAGAGCCAGTAGCTTGAAATATTGGTCACATCTGCTCTTACGGACACCCCATCCATCTTCTTTGCACTCTAGCCACCTTGCCCTTACAGATGGTTTTTACTTATTTAAAAATACTTTATCTTTGAGCAGGATGTTAGCCTCAATTTCATGTCAGAATTTTTTTTTTTTTAGAAAATTCTATTTGCCATACTTTTAACTGAGGATTAAGGAATCTCTGCATATAGTTTATGCATCCACACACACACTCTCTCTCACATACACATATGTAAATGTATATATATTTAATATCAAAAGATATTCATATGAACTAATTGGTCTCATTCCACACAGGACCTAGTTTTCAAGAATTGTGAAAGAGTTAAATATTATTCCAAAAATAATTAACTGAAGAAAGAGGTAAAAGGAAGATTCTACTTGCATTATTTGTTGCTAACTATGCACACCCATTGCAGATCTATAAGAAGTTTAAGAAATATATACGTAGATCTGCACATATAGGATACTCAATGTATAAGTGGAGACATATATAAAAAGTTACCGCAACTATTATAAATCCCACAAGATTATGTATTTAGCCTTAGTAAAAGTTGTTCTTGAGAAGGTAAGGTTTTCTCTTTATCATAGTGATACAATGTGAAATAATACATTTTATATAACATAGGCATATGTTATACAAACATTTATAACTCCTACTACCTCATAGTAAAGGGAAGGTTTCTGATCAGCCTAGTACTGTGCAAAATGAGGACATGAAAGTTTAGAAGTAGAATGTATGGAAAAGCTGAATTTGTACTTTAAAAAACAGGGGTGATAGTATAGAGGTGATGGTTGGTATGCGGGGGAAATCTAGGAAGGAGATGAGACAAATAGAGAAGAGACTTCCCAGGGCTAGCAATACAGCCAGAAAGAGGCCCTGAGGGAGAAAACAAATATCTACTGAGGTTTTACAAATTTGGGTATTGTAGGTTAGTTGTGAAAATCCTCTGATCTTCTCTACAGAATCTTTGGAAAAGCCTACTAAAAGCTAAAATAATCAAATCTTGGCTGGTTGAACTTCCTATGTAAAGTGCTGAAAGTGCCAAAGTCTATTTGCTGATTGCCAAAAAGCATCAGCACACTTAGCCCAAGGGACCATGTGGTTTAACCTGACAAATTCCTATTAAACATGGCATGAATCAGGATGAGGCAAAACGGCCAAACTTTACCCACAGATTGCATTTCTGTGCACTGAGTTTGCACAGTAATAAAACACTTTTAGACGTACTAAAAGGAGTGAGTGGTTGGCTGTCAACACTTACTGCGAGGACAATCTGGAGGGAACTATGAGCCACTTCTATGTACTGGTACTCCAGAAAACACCCTGAGACCGTGATGTAGCGATGGTCTTCTGGGGCCCAGTCTGGGGCGGGTGTCACTGATGTCACCGTACATCCTGGTCCGTTCTCCATCCACCAAGATCGGTGCATTGAAATATTAAAAGTCAGGATAAGGTCTGTTTCCTGCAAGAAGGCAATTTATAAGGATGAGAATTACTTTGCAAATGTGAGCTTATTTGAGACTTACTTGCTTTGAGTTTTCCATTTGGAAATGTGGGTTTTTCTTCTTCCTCCCCATACTGTGTTTTACAGACTCAAAGAAAGCATCTTAAGTAAAAATGTCAGTTCACCTGAGAATTATGTGTCTATGGATTCCACTTCTGAAAGTTTGCCTGACTACAATAATACAATGCCAATTTCAGAACAGAAACTACTTGGGGAACTTCAGTTCCTATAAAGTTAGGAAACCTGCCATGTATTTTATCCAGTGGCAGCAGTGGAACCCAGGGTAGGCTTGTGCGGGCAGTCATGAGAAAGGAATAATGTTTTCTGTTTCTTTCTCAGAATCTTACTCATGAATTGGATTAGTCAACAAAGTAAACTGGGTAAGTTCCTGGAGTCTATCATGAAGAAAGGGATACAAAACGGTGATCATCAAGAGAGTGAGTTCTATCTAGCTCAACTGGCATAACAGTTTATAAAGA